CCTAAACCCTAAACCCTCAACCCTAAACCCCTTTTGAGATTCTTGCCATGGTTGTGGCCAAACCTAGGTCTACGACAGCTTAGGATTGTTGATGCGAAGCCCTCGTTGCATCGGGAGACTTGCAAACCTGAGGCGGCATCTTCTCCGCCTTCAAGGCGCTCGGGTGCCAGGAAGAGTCGGTAGGGGTTTAGGGTTTAGGGTTTAGGGTTTAGGTGCCCTACTAAGTCTTTACTAACCCCTCAAGCTGTTTGCAATACACCCTACAGCCGACAGAAATCCCGCTCCTCGGCTTGAAGTCTGAACCGTCCGAACCTCAAGTGGGGAGGTTCGCGGCCTTGGACCCCCTCCAGAGATTTAGGGTTCAGGGTTTAGGGTTTAGGGTTTAGGGTTTAGGGTTTAGGGTTTAGGGTTTAGGGTTTAGGGGCCGATGCGTCGAGGGACCACCGCGCTTCCAAGTACTCCTGCTTCTCGGAGCGCGTCCCGCTTGAGGCCTGAAGAGCGGAAATAGCCCTAAACCCTAAACCCTAAACCCTAAACCCTCAACCCCAAACCCCAAACCCCAAACCCTAAACCCTAAACCCTAAACCCTAAACCAGTGCACGCAAGCCCTTAGTTGAGGTGTTTGGAGTTCTAGGGCTGGGGTGGAAGCGCGAGGATTTTGGAGGGACCCTGAGCTTGGGATTCCAGAATCCCTCAGCCAAATTGCAGACCTGCCATTAGCACCTGAACAGGGTTTAGGGTTTAGGGTTTAGGGTTTAGGGTTAGGGTTTAGGGTTTAGGTTTTAGGCAACACAGTTGAAAGATGGGTTGCAAAGGGCGCGATGCCTTGAGTTGACACTGAAACAAAGTTCGAACGACAAAGTTCAATTTCGTGAAAGGAAAACAACTTCTCTGAAGACACACTTAGAACGTTAAAAAGCCCTAAACCCTAAATGGGTGTTTTAACGTTGACAAACCCTAAACACACATGTTCTGATACACATCAGATCGGAACATTGTTCTTCAAGCGCCGCTTTTGTTTCTAGTAGACAAGCCACAACTTCAATTGTGGCCACCTAGCAATTCGCAGATAAATCACAGATGCAAAACACCAATAAAAACACAAAAACAACACAAAAAAACACTTCTAGAAACCCAGCCTTTACCACGAAATCCGGGTTACAATTATAAGTACAGTTATCATTGGTTAATGAGTACTATGAACCTCCAAGCAGTGTATGGTGCCTGCAGATGAACCTCAAGCCGCGAGGATTACGTTCCGACGTCGACGCAGCCCAAGTTTCCCCGTTCGACGTACCAGGCATCAGTGAAGGTTGGGGTTTAGGGTTTAGGGCTTGTAGGGAGTGGGGGAATGAGGTACCCTACAAAATCCCTTAAAGGGTATATATATAGGGGGATATAAGGTACCTGATGTGCTCATTCCCTGTTAAGAACCAGCTCCAGGGTGCATCTTGCTAGGAACCAGCACCAGGGATTAGGGACTTGTTCATTATTCCTACAGAATGCAGCTTCTCCTCTTGCGCTTAAGCACTCTTCTTGTCAAAGGAGAGCCGCCTCTCAGAATCCTTCAGTCCTTCAAGGGAACCTCAAAACCCCTAAGACCCTCCATCCTCAGCCCGCACGCCTGGAGGCTTCAAGAAGAAGGGTTAGGGTAGGAGCCTAGGGCTAGATGGCCAGTTCTATGAATTAAGGTCCTACAAGGGGTGTACCCTAAACCGCGATGCGGTACGGTAAACATGCTGGATTTTGGGGTTTCGGTTGCCTGGTGTGTAGGGTGGTGAGGTTCAGGTTGCACATCCAAGAAGGGCCATGATTCAGGAAACTTCGCCCTAACGCCCGAACCCTGAACCCTAAATCCTCCCAAAACCGCCGTCAGGATTCCCTTCCCAAGGATTTCGAGTGCGCCAAGCCACCTGGCTTCGGGAATCAGATTTTTGCTGGCGGGTGGGGTGTGGGGTTTACAGGGTTTGGGGTTTGGGTTTAGGCTTAGTGTTTAGGGTTTAGGGTTTAGGGTTTAAGGCTAGGGTTTAAAAAGTTTAGGGTTTAGGGTTTAGGGTTTAGGGTTTAGGGTTTAGGGTTTAGGGCTTAGGGCTTAGGGCTTAGGGTTTAGGGTTTAGGGTTAGGTTTAAGATTTAGAGTTCATAGGCAATGCCTGCCAAGCATAAGCGAGGCTGAGGATAGTGAGCACACGAGCGGTGAAGAAGAGTCAAGGCTCAACCAAAGAATCCGTAGGCCCTTACTCCCTCTTGTTAGGGTTTAAGGTGTAGGGCTTAGGGTTTGGGGTTTAGGGTTTCGGGTGCCTAGGACCCAGAGTAGGCGCTTGTTTCCTTTTTTTAGGGGTGGGTTTCTCTTCTAAAAAGGGTACCGTTCCTAGGTTACTCCTGGGTCTAGCCGGCTCCCACCCAGAAACATCTGAGCCATTCTGGAGGCAGATGGTTCTTTTTTCAATTTTTTTTGTTTTATTGTTGTTGTTGTTGTTTGTGTGTTTTTACGGTTTTGG